AATAAATGTTTAAATGGAAGTGAAAACAGTAAGGAAAACCTGACACTTGGACCAATTTGGATTATGTGAGAATTAGATTTTGTATACCTGTACTCTTAAATTACTCTTAAGGCTTATCTTAAGGGCTTTAGCACATGAAAAGCTGTCATCTTTAAAACACAGAACTAATTTTCCAAACTGAAAACAGTTGTGAAAGGCATTCTATTTTAGCCTTTTTTTGTGAAATGGGAAAAGTTCATGCTTCCCATCTGTTTCAGTTACATTGAATGTGGTAGAATTGAACTTTGTAGAGAAGAGAAACAGGTTGGCCAAATTCGTGACAGCCTCCCAGTCTTCTGCTTTGCATGACACTCACTCTGAAGATATCTATTTGCATAGTCTTATCTACTTCTCAAATTTAGGCAAGGATTTGGTTCAGAAATACAAGACTACTAATTACTACTAAACTCTTAGTAATGCAATATGTGGATTTGGCCCCTCACTATGTAACCAAGAAGACAACATTATGGTGTATTGATTCCAATGAGGGTTTTCTTTGTCATTTTTCTCCTCTCAGGAGGTCATCTTTGTGTTTTGGTATGGTGATAATGACTAACAAGTGATTGCTGTGGGTCATCCAGGCACTAATCTTAGCACAATACATGTAGAGATCTCAATCTTTTTTTTTTTTTTTTTGAGACAGGATCTTGCTCTGTCGCCCAGGCTGGAGTGCAGTGGCATGATCTTGGCTCACTGCAACCTCAGCCTCCCGAGTAGCTGGCTCATTCAACAACCCTGTGAGTTAGGTAATAGTATTCTTGTTTCATTTTTTTTATATGCAGAAACTGAGACCCAGAGAGGTCAGAAGTTAAATCTCTTTCCCAAGACCCACATTAGGTGGTAAAGGAAGCATCCAGCATTCTGAATCCAGAGGACATGCTTTTAACCCCTCTGCTACAGAAAGCTTATATTTAAAATAAAAAGGTGAATTAAGAAGCTATTTCTTGAATGGAGAATTAGCAGAGAAAGGAAGAAAACATATCTGTAGATACTGATTAATGCTATTACTTGGTATTAGTTTTTATTTTTAGTTGAAGACCCTCATGTGAAGATGAAAGGAAGAATAGCATGCTGTTGTGGCAGGCAGCAAAGCAGGAGTGGGCTGGTTTTCCCAGGGTACTCAGCATTTACTGAGATAATAAACACTTAATGCTGTTTTATATTGGAGGTTTTGACTTTCTGGACATCTTGACTGTCACACAATACTAAAAGATTTTTGAATGCTGTTAATTTTACTTATCACTGCCACTAACCGTCAGGAGAGACTACATTTATTTCTAGGGAACAGGGGATGTAAATTCGTAACACCTAATAATAATATGCACAGTACCCTACTGTCACTGCTAGTTAAAAATCAAAAGGACAGTATACCAGACAGTCCACGGTAAAAGCGTGTGTGTGTCTAACCTTTTTTGCACTTAAAGGTGTGATTTTTGCTATTTATGCTTTGGCCGAAGTATAGAAGTTAGGCTTTATAAACCAGACTTGTGTTGATGTGTAAATGTGTCAGGTTAGCCTTGATTGCTCTGTGCTTTAAGTCTAAGTAGGGCTCTGAAGTATGCAAGTGGATTTTAGTAAATGATCCAGTTGAGAATATATTTCTTCTTGTGATGCCTTTAAGAGACTTTGTTAATTATGTATCTTTCTAAATATATACAATGAAGACAGAAAAACATAAATGACATATGACTTTTATAACAAGTATATCGCTCCTCAGAAGCCGTTAATAATCATTTACAAATATGACCTAACAATATATCAAATCAATTTTTATTTGTACTTAATGGTTAATTTAGTGATTACCCCCTCCCTGAGATAATTGTTTTTAGTCACATAATTTATTTCCCTATGTCTTCTCCCCTGGTATTTTTAGTATCCCCAAAAGGAGTTGATGGGAGCAGAAGAGATGTGAGAATGAACCATGCCTGGCTCATTTTTTGTATTTTAGTGGAGATGGGGTTTCACCATGTTGGCCAGGCTGGTCTCAAACTCCTGACCTCAGGTGATCTGCCCACCTTGGCCTCCCACCTAGAGTACTGGGAGAACAGGTGTGAGCCACCGTGCCTGGCCTATTATTTCTTATAATTTTATAGGTCATCTGGTCTCACATGTTCCTGCTCACATCATATAGGCTGGGGTCACAACAGTGACTGTATTCTGCCAGACCACAACTGGGACTGGAATGTCCTTGAAAGTGTCATCTTCATGTCTGGCACTTCAGCTGGGGTGCCCAGGATAGCCAAGGGTTGGCTGGACCTCTCTCTCCATATAGATCACTTGTCATTTGGTAGTCTTAGCTTGAGCTAGATCCCGTGAAAGTAGAAGCTGCCAGATCTCTTAAGGCCAAGGCCCAGAACTGGCACACAGTCACTTCCACAACATTCTGTTGTCAGAGCAAGTTACAAAGCCAGCCCAGATTCACAGGGAGGAAAAACAGACTCCACCTCTCTCTCTGTCTCTCTCTCTCTTTTTTTTTTTTTTTTAATAATAGAGACAGCGTCTCGCTGTGTTACCCAGGCTGGTCTCGAATTCCTGGGCTCAAGCAATCCTTCTGCCTCAGCCTCCCAAAGTGCTAGGATTACAGGTGTAAACCAGCGTGTTTGGCCCTGACTCCACCTCTTGATAGGAGAAATTGTTAGTGTCTGTCTTTGTAGACAGTCAACAAAAAACTTAAATTCAAGTCTTACCTCCTATACTCACCAAACCTTCAGAGTTTTACTGAAACCAACAATTACCAAAGAATTTTGTAAAAAGATCCTTGTAGTTCCTACTCAGGATCAAGGGCAAAGAGATTGTGTGCATAAATATAATTCTATACCAGTTAGGAAATCCCACCCCTTTGCCTCAGATCTCCTTTGTTATTAGTCTTCTGCTTGAAACATTCTTACCGAACATTTCCCTTGTGGTGCTTTATGTTTACAAGGCATGTTACATTCTGCTTAAATCATAAGAACCTCATTTGATCGTTAAATTAGAAACACAAAAAGTGAAACTTACGTTTACTTTTACCATAGCTTTCACTTTTAGTTGCTATGAGCAGAGGTTGGTATTTATTTCTTCTCTATGACCTCAGAGGTAGTATTGTGAGCTTGTCACTTAATCAAAGGGCAATTCAAGGGGATACTTCTAATAAGGCTTGGAATCTCATTGGTGGCTTGTAGGACTCTCTAGTAAGGTAGTAAGTGTTAAGGCCAGGTGTTCTCATGTTCCTCAGTAGCCACATACATTGAGATTTATCACATGATCTGTAGACCCCCACACCAACATGCTTTTCTGTAAATGTTCCTCTACCATCAGCCAGATTTTTTTTAAGTACAATTTCCATTTTATTTTTCTCCAGAGAATGGTCTGTCTTCAGTCTTTAAGGACTCAGCTCCTTACACAGGCTTTGGTGGGGGTTGTGGGGCAGAACCCACAGGTCTAAATCCAGGTAGAGGTGTTCGGTCCTTGTGGGCTTCATGAGATTGATTCCTGATTACTTTGCTGTGAATTGCACAACTCAAACAGTAAAGTAGCTTCACAAACAGCTTGGGAAGCATACAGGCATCAAAGACGCTTCTTCAGAAATGTCCCTGACTGCTGTGGCCTCCACTGTATTTTGAATGATGAATTTCTTAATGGCCTTGTCCTTGGGCACACATCAGGCACAGTTCATGCAGCAAATAGGTTGCACGTGGCTGTGGCCATTTTTTTTTTTTTTTTTTTTTTTTTTTTCTGTGGCCCAGGCTGGAGTACAGTGGCCGGATCTCAGCTCACTGCAAGCTCCGCCTCCCGGGTTCCCGCCATTCTCCTGCCTCAGCCTCCCGAGTAGCTGGGACTACAGGCGCCCGCCACCGCGCCCGGCTAATTTTTTGTGTTTTTAGTAGAGACGGGGTTTCACCGTGTTAGCCAGGATGGTCTCGATCTCCTGACCTCGTGATCCGCCCGTCTCGGCCTTCCAAAGTGCTGGGATTACAGGCTTGAGCCACCGCGCCCGGCCGGCTGTGGCCATTTTTGACATGATCTTTGTTCCTTCTTTTCTTTGTCATCTTGGAGGCATGGACCGGAGAGGAGATTCTTGAAAGAAGACTTTACATTAAGACCTCACTTTTTTTCTGTGGGATCTATATCTCTTCTCAGAAAACAACTTAATAGTCTTAAGTTTGCCCTTATACAATATTTATCAAATGAGAAGGATGAGAGAGAGAGAGAGTGTGTGTGTGTGTGTGTGTGTGTGTGTAGAATGAAAGTGAATTAGCCAGCTGGGTGTGGTGGCTCACACCTGTAATCCCAGCACTTTGGGGGCCCGAGGTGGGCAGATCACTTGAGGTCAGGAGTTCAAGACCAGCCTGCCCAACATGGCAAAACCCCGTCTCTACTAAAAATACGAAACTTAGCCGGGTGTGGTGGCTCACACCTGTAATCCCAGCTACTTGGGAGGCTGAGGCAGGACAATTGCTTGAACCCAGGAGGTGGAGGTTGCAGTGAGCCGAGATAGCACCACTGCACTCTAGCCTGGGCGATAGAGCGAGACTCTGTCTCAAAATAAAAAAAGAAAGTAAATAAGTAAATTAGCCTCCGTAGCAAGCCTCATGTAGCTGATGGCGCTAAGGCTGAAACCAGGGTTCAGTAGGAAAATTCCTTATAAAGGTCTGCTTTCCAGAACTCCAGGTTAGGAGTTTATGCCAGCTTTTCATGTGAAAACTATTTACAGTTATGCCATTTGTATTGCCTTTTTTATATTTAACACTTTTAAAGTTATGTTATTACCTTGAGTTTATTTGTTCTTTGAGGTAGTTTCTGTTCTGCATAACAGAAACATTAAAATAAATGACCATAATATAACTGGACATTGTTGCACTGTTTGAAGCATTTATTGGAGGAGCTGAGGGTGTGATATAGAGCAGGCACATTCTTCTGGGAATATTACTGAGGTTTTTGTGAATAGTTTGAATATACACAGTGAATTTGCTTTTATTTCCTTAGTGCCTGAAATGCGGAATCTTTGGAAAAGTCCAGTTTGCAGAATATAGTATGCTCCTTGTCCCAAATTAAAAAGGAAAGATTATGTGTCGTGAAAACCCTGTCTTGGATACTTTCTCCTCTCTCACATATAAAGGAGTGAAGGGGATCATTCTAAGGAGCCAAGATTCTGAAAGGAGAATTAAGAACTATATACAATAAGCTATTATACAAGGCCAAATGTAGTTAAGTACTGGCCGAAAGGAGGGAGAAGTGACTTTAAGAGTGTGAGGAGGGACCAAAAATTGTCTTAGAGATGGCCTTGGAGATAAGCCTTAAAAGGAGGCTTAGACTTTATGAGGAGGAGATTGGAAGAAAGGGTAAGAGAAAGAGGAATTTTGAGGGACTACAGTGTAAGGAATGACAGAACCAAAGGGCAACTACACATCAAGAGGAGGACCACGGCATGTTCAGTTGATCCCTTATGGCTAAAGCTGAGAAGAGGAACAATGGGATTGATGTCTAGATTGGAAGCTATTTAGGATACAGCTTTAATGCCTTGCCAAGGAATCTAGAATCAGAGGTCGTTGAGTGATTTGAAAAATGATTTTGGCTGCATTATTTAGGCTGGATTGGAGAACCTGGAGGCTCAGGCATCAGTTCTTTCTGTGGTCCAAAGGAAGGTGATGAGCACTGAAGTTGGTGGCTGTGGAAATGAAAGATGGTTATAAAGAACAATGACAAATTGCACTGTTACTCATTCTACCAGGATGTGGTGACTATAATCACAAACATGAAAACTTGTTTAGTCACTTTTTTTTTTAAGCTGCCCTCACTTAGACTCCGCAGAAGTAAATAGTGAAATAATACAATTGAACCCTTCAGTTCCCTTAATATAAATCTCTTTCTTGCTTGCTTGCTTGATTTCTTTCTGTCTTTTTATTTATTTATTTATTTATTTATTTATTTATTTATTTTGTGAGACAGAGCGTTGCTCTGTCACCCAGGCAGGAGTGCAGTGGCACGGTCTCAGCTCACTGCAACCTCTGTCTCCCGGGTTCAAGCGATTGTCTCCTGCCTCAGCCTCTTGAGTAGCTGGGATTACAGGTGCTCACCACCACGCCCAGCTAATTTTTGTGTTGTCCAGGCTGGTCTTGAACTCCTGACCTTAGGTGATCCCCCTGCCTCGGCCTCCCAAAGTGTTGGGATTACAGGCATGAGGCACTGCCCCCAGCCAGTTCCCTTAATGTAAATTTCTAACCTGAGTGAGTGAATTGTTTGTGGCCCTGAATTGATGAATGTGTTCTTCTGAGGCCTCTTCAAAAGGAGAAGTTTTGAAATAAGTTTCAAAACTTAAAAGGACAAACTTGGATTGTGGAATTGGACTGTTTTCCTTATCTGAATTTTGGAGCTGTTAGAACTTCTTATTGTATCGATGATTAAAAACAAAACAAAAAAACCACAGCTCTAACATTTGTGCAAAATGTTTGGATATATTTATATAGCATGAGGGGGAGGATTTTCTTCATTCTAAATGAATGAGCAATACCATTAAAAGTTTATGGGTTGGCCGGGCGCAGTGGCTCATGCCTGTAATCCCAGCACTTTGGGAGGCCGAGGCAGGCAGATCACCTGAGATTGGGAGTTCAAGACCAGCCTGATCAACATGGAGAAACCCTGTCTCTACTAAAAATACAAAATTAGCCAGGCGTGGTGGCGCATGCCTGTAATCCCAGCTACTTGGGAGGCTGAGGCAGGAGAATCACTTGAACCCGGGGGGCAGAGGTTGTGATGAGCCAAGATTGCACTATTGCATTCCAGCCTGGGCAACAAAAGTGAAACTCCATCTCAAAAAAAAAAGAAAAAAAAAATTTATGGGTTAACCAGACTTTAGTCCTGAAGGATGTTCTGTAGAAAGTAAAAGCCTATTAAGCTGACCCCTTTGTGCCAGAATTGTATTGCATTTGTAGCTAGTTGCATCTGGAGGTGCTGAGGAAATGATTGTCAATACAACTAGATTTCCATATTGCCTTTTATCTCTGCAACCCGAGAAGTGTACCGTTGAACAAGTACTTGAAAAAGTTGTGTGGTTTAGGTTGCATTAGAACTAGCAAAAATCTCTGAAATCTTCTCTGCTTGCACTGCTGTTATCAGTAATCACAGGGAACTGTTTTACTGAGTTCCACACCAAACTTGATACCATCCCAATTACATTTTAGATGCACTTGAATTGCCTTTGTTTCAGCTAATAGTGTTGCCTACCCTGGGAAATGATGATGAAACAAAACAGGTGGCGGGGGATAATTGGAATTTGAAATTGACTCTCACTTTCTGCTTCCTTCATGAAATGAACAGAAAAGGAGTGGTTAATCACTGAGAATAAACTTCATTCAGCTGGCTCACTGCAAGGTGTTGCCTTTAGAATACATTGTTGCTCTGATGGGCTGCTTTTGATTATGTTTCCAGCTGTTATTAGGGGAGCAGTATCATGTTTAAGGGGGAGTGTCTCAGCCTGAATCATTTGCTCTATTTTTTTGTATTGGTTTTATTTTTTGGATTAATGGTTTGAGTTGTAAAATGAATTGGAGAGTGAAGCAACATCCTGTTATCTTCTTGTCATCTTTGTCTTACCTCAGTGCTGTGCTGTCTGTAGGCACAGAGCAGAGCAAGCCTGTGCATGTTTTTAAATGGCCTTATGGAGGAGAAAGCAACCTCTCAGGATGCAAATGAGACGGAATTGTATGTTCTTGACACCGTTGCAAAAATCTTGTATTTGGAGTCTTTTAACTTAAGAATTGCCCAGAGTGTGGTCAGCCCCATGCTAGAAGGAGCACTTCTTTATGTCTGTGACATGAATATCCTTGTTATGTGCCTGACCATTCCAGATGTAGTAGTGTTGCCATAGTACCAGGCTTTATTAGTTTTCTGGTTATATTCTGCTAATAGCTAGATGGTATGGGAATATTTTTTCCCTTTACTTAAAGTACACAGTTTTGATTATCAATGGTTTGCAGGTATTTTAATTTTGAAAAATAATTGGTGAAGGACTAAGTAGAAATATGTGTCTGGGGTTGTATTTAAATACATGAGCAACAGATATGACATGTCCAGGATCGCTGAGTACTTGGACTCAGAGACAGCTATTACTCTCCTCTGCACCCTCTGGCATTTTTAGGAATTGTTGTCTTACCAGAATGAGAATTGGAAAGTTACCAAATACTGGTGGTTTGGGATATGCAAAAATCCTTTATGGATTTTGAAAGTTAAAAAAAATGAGAGTTAAACAATTATGTATAGCTTGCTCTTTTGTTTTTGTTGTGTTTTTTTTCTCATTGTTTTGGTTATTAGGCATGTGTAGCCAACCTCATGGCTCCTAGATGGCTTGCATTCCAATTAAAATAGAAATATTTGGTTTAAAATTTTCAGTATATGTGGTTCTTGCTTATTAGTGTCACGGGATCCTTGGGGTGTCACTTTGCCAGTGAGAAACCTCTGTGGCCATGGCCGTGGCACCTTCTGCCTGAATAGTGCTCGTGCCCACTGGGCTCGTTCTGCCCACTCAGTCTTGCAGGCTGTGCTCAGCTCGTACTACCAGCCTGGATCCCATACCTGCCAAGGGCAAGCCAGGTGCAGAGCAGCGAGGGGTGTGTGGACAAGCTAGCACGGGGTCTGGCCACTGCACACAGCCAGGCACTCTGGCTGCTGTGGTGGGGTAGGCATTTCCAGGCATAAGCACAGCTGCCGGTTCTGTGTGAGGCTGCAGCTGGACCAGAGTATCACATGCAGCTTCTGCTGCGGGTGCCCACATCCGGACAAGGGGAACATGGGGGCATCCAGAAACTTGGAGACACCAGGAACTTCAGAACTCCAAAGAGGGCGTCACAGCCCTGGCTCAGGGAGACCCTAGGTCTGAGCTCCCCAAAGGGCCCCAGCTCTTCTCTCTTTCTGATTGCCTACCACATGGTGAGCAGGGGGTGTGTTTCAGCCCTGTTTGCGTTACAGCTCTTTCAGTCCCGCCATTTGGTAGGTCCTGAGTTCTTGTCCCATGCCCAGAAAGAATGAAGTATGCAGACAACTAGGGGGTGAGCAAGGTGGAGAGGAGCTTCATTGAGCAATAGAACAGCTCTCTAGAGACCCAAAGTGGGTAGCTCTTTCTGCAGCCATGTCGTTCTGATGAGTGTCTAGCTCTCAGTGGAGAGGAGACCCACAGTGGGTAGATCCCTTTTGCATGCAGGTTGTCCCGACATCTGTTTGAGTCTGGCTGAGTCCAGGGTTTTTATGAGCTCAGAAGAGAGGCAGTGTGTGCTGATTGGCCATGGGTGGCCATGGGTGGGCCCAGAAAAAGCACCATAAGTTCTCACTCTGGTCTGTGGACTCTTAACCAGAACTGACAGCCTAGCCCCCATGCCTCAGGCCGTCCCTGGCTTGAAGGTGGGGCTTCACCGGAAACCCACCCCTTTCCGCCCAGGAGCCTGCCTCCTGCCACCATTCATGTCATCCACAGTGCCCAGGCTGTTCATAGCAAGGGATGCCTGCAGGCCTACACTGAGCCGGCCTCATTCCTCCCTTGGCCTCCCTCCCATGCTCATTGGTGCCCAAAGTCCAGAGTGGGCTGAGACAGCAGGGGCCTGGTGTATCAGCACTGCCCCAACCACATGTACACCTGGCCAGGTCACAGCATCACCTGGGCTCAGCCACAATTTTGCTCCACCCCAGAGTGGGTGCTGGGAGTGGGGAGAGGCCAGGCAGCAGGAGTGGCATTTCTGAGCCTGTGGGTGTAGCTGTGGCTGGGGGCTGCAGCTGCACCCAGGAGTGTGGGGCACCTGCTCCAACAACTTGGAAGAGGGCAGGGCTCGCGCCTGTTCCCAGCTCCTGCCAGCTCCATGGAGTGTGCAGCCCTGGCCAGGCCTCTCCCACTGCGGCTGGCTTCTTTGCAGCAGCTGCTCCAGATGGGCCACTGCTGCCATCTTTAGGTCCCTCTCCAGACTAGTTAATTTTAAATTATTGAACCTTCTTGAGCTCAAGGTTAGCAAGCCTAAAAGGGTGAGTCATGTATTAGAGGCTTGCAAAAGATTCAGTGGTGGAAGGACAGAATTTTTGATCAAATTTTGCTTTGTATTTGGGCTTGCAGGAACTGTGGAAGGTGCATCAGTGAAGAAATGGACCAATGTGTATAATCATGGAATCTTCTTGCTAACCATCACCACCAGCTCTCCTTAATAAGTGAGCAAGAGTGGGTCAGGGGAGAAGGAAAAGAGGTCAACATGAAGCTAAAGCAGCGAGTCGTGCTGTTAGCAATTCTCCTTGTCATTTTTATCTTCACCAAAGTTTTCCTGATTGACAACTTAGATACATCAGCTGCCAACCGGGAGGACCAGAGGGCCTTTCACCGAATGATGACTGGCTTGCGGGTGGAGCTGGCGCCCAAGCTGGACCATACCTTGCAGTCTCCCTGGGAGATTGCAGCCCAGTGGGTGGTTCCCCGGGAAGTGTACCCTGAAGAGACACCAGAGCTGGGGGCAATCATGCATGCCATGGCCACCAAGAAAATCATTAAAGCTGATGTGGGTTATAAAGGGACACAGCTGAAAGCCTTACTGATACTTGAAGGAGGACAGAAAGTTGTTTTCAAACCTAAGCGGTAAGTTTTCATCTGGGAAACTGCATGTGCTAGTTGGTTGATTGATTTAACTTGGGTTTTATATA